AAGCGTAGAGATGGGTAAGAGACAAAGTTTCATGGGTTTCATCGAGTATTTTATCGAGCGAACATGTGCCTATAGATAGTGACCGATGTTTCCATCGATTTATCGTGCACGCATCGTTTACCGCAATATTCTCGTTTGTGTGTAGGCAGTTAGGCACCTATCTACATGTATGGCAGCCCACATATGGTTAGGCAGGGAACAGCCTTTGTTAGCGAGCTTAGTCGAGTGAATATTGAAAACTGAAATACCTAAGTGTCGAAGTTTTCCTACGTAAAGACCGTAACTTAGTATGCATTAAATTTCCTTTATGATTGTAAAAAGATGAATAACACGAGAAAAATGTTAGTTTTTATAACGTTTTCTTTCCTCTACATTACAAAGGAGGTAGAAAATAATAAAAATGTGACTCGTAAAATAGTTCATTTAATTAGCTTTTTTAAATACCTAATAAATTAAACTGCTGCAACTTTACTTGTGGGACTTTCAGTAGGTTTCGTAATTTTCTCGGCTCTATATCGAACATGCAAAACCTAACCTTAACAATTAGCTCCTAAACGTTAATTAATTTCTTACAATGCCTCGCTAGGTTGGTATTAAATTTTAAAGATTTTCTAACATACCTAAATATGAGTATTCAACTTTATTTTAGACGAAAAATAATATAATATTTACTCGAATACTAGGACTAGGTAGTTCAACGCAGTCGCTCAACATTCTTAGCGTTGAGTACATAAAGAATTTCCACTATGTGATACATTTTCCGATAAACGGCTCTCGACTTGAGAAAACGAATTTATGCACAAAATGCGGAAAAATATTTTACTGGTGTAAGTTTAAGGCTCTGCGGATCTTTGGTCAAATATTTATAGAAAGTCCTTTTTCACGATGGGCGAAAAAAATTAAAAGGCGGATAGATGCGAACTAATTTTAAAGAACTAATAATCTTACAGAAAGGCTTTGGAACTTAACGCGCTTTTGCCTCGTTCAAGCTTCCAGGAACTCCATTTAATTGCCATCTAGCTTAGCCACAATTCCGCTTGAGTGCATTTTTGGATTGTCAAAGAAAGGCTAGGGACTTTTACTCCGCTCTTTTCTGGTGCAAGAATTCTCGGATCTTAATATTTCCAGGAACCAACACCGGCAAGCTTTTCAGACAACCCGTCTGAATAGGTACCTTATTATGGTATTTTTAAGGTTTATAGTTAGATTGACGAGAATAATTGTGATCTATTTGCAAGCTACTTTACAATTTTGGAAAATTGGTGGACATTCGTTTATTAAAATAACAAGCTTATCAAAAAATATACCTAATGATATGTAGGTATAATATTTAGTTGTGGTGTAATAACTTCGTAATTTTAAAAATACATATTTTCAATCCATGGCGTCAGCTCAGAACGAATGGAAAATTATTACTTCTACATTTCGAAAATTCGAAAAATTCAGAAAAAAGACAATCGTGAGCTGCGCAAAGTGTAACCACCGTACGCGAGTCGAAGGGGATTAGTTCTCGAAAATCTACATTAAAATTCGAAAACTCGAAAATTAATTCTGAAAAAAAGACGATCGCGAGCGGCACAAAGTGTAACCGCCGTCCGCGATGTCAAGTCAGTACTCATCGATTAAGTTGGGTCGGGTACCGCGGCCGGGTCACCGGCACGCCCTCAAGGGGCGTTCCCCTCCCCAAGGAGTAGACGCCTAAGCCTGATATTTTGCTGGTGTCAGGGTTGTGAAAAAAAGAGATATTTCATTAAAAAAAATTAATGTCGATTTTCCAAAAAAATCTCAAATAATTGTCTAGAAGACGAACCATACTATTCTAGTACCTACTTAACTCTAACAACGATAGTGTCTATTATAACAAACAACTTTACCAATGGTAAAGGAAGTAAAGACCTATAATGCATGGGATTGGCTGAGTAAACACAGTAAAGTGTTTGTGAGATACACTTAAAAACAGACTTTGAGAATCGTCAGTTTAAATAAAATGATAGGCAAGGTAATACAGGAATGGGATACCAACATTCCTACTTAGATAATTCATAAATATTATAAAAATCCCTAAGCAAACGGTAGGGATCTGGATATTCAAGTCTTTTGTAACCAATTTCATGTGCCCAAGTAATATAAAATCATTTATGATGTCCCGCTTTGCAGAAATAATTAAATTGTTAATTAGATTACTTGTGACCACTTTGATAAAGTAAAGAAAAAAATGTGTGTTGTTTTAGAGTTTGGAAATGACAAAGTTGGCAACCCTGACCCGCGCCATTTCGACTCGTCTACAAGTACGTACATACAACATTGATCTTTTACGTAGAGATCAATAGTCGTACAGCTTTGCGATGCTATAGAAAAATAAGACTTATCCGTCTTATTAAATAAAACGTTAACTTTATACTACACTATATTTATACTTTTTACAAGTTTTAATTAAATGAAGATCTTTAAAAATAGCCCAATTGTAAGTAAGTTACTAATTTATATTTCGAATCAATATAAGACCGTACGTAGTACTTATTATTATTATGTGCCTTAACTATCATAATGTGAATAAACAATCGTTTTGACTTCTCATTTCTTATTTCCACCGGAACGACCGCAGAAAGATAATATTGAGAAATAAAAATAACCACAGCGCAGACAATCGTGTATTGTGAATCGAAAATTATTATACGAAAAGCGGGGAATGAAAATATGCGATATAAAATCTGATCTGAATTCAGAATTATTTAATTTTCACACGAGCATCAGTTCTGAACTAAGGGCTGGAGCACACAGCATTATTTTTATTTTTCAATGTAATTTTATAAATCAATATCTATAAAAATATATTACTAGTACATACAAATCAATGGAAAAGGGTGTAAAATAGAAGTGTTAAAATTGTTTTGTTGTTTCGAGATCCACAGCCTGAAAATGTGAAAGGATAATAATGTTGTGATAACAAATATTACAGTCAAGTTTTGGATTTCCTCTATGTTGTATCACACGCACTACCTTTTAACGAATTTTGTCTGTTACAGAAAAACTTTGGCACGCGCATCCCTGTTTTTAAAACCGGTATAAAAACTATCCTATGTCCTTTCCCGGGACTCAAACTATCTCTATGCCAAATTTCATCAAAATTGGTTCAGTGGTTTAGGCGTGAAAGCAAGACAAACAGACAGAGTTACTTTCGCATTTTTAATATTAGTATAGAATAGTATAGATAGTATATATTTTGGATTTCCTCTATGTTTTATACCACGCACAAGTTCTTTAGTAAATAAAAACGCGGCCTGGTACAACAAGGCTGAGCGTTTGTATGTGGCCAGTCCTAATCGATACAAGAGTGACTCTTCGGAGCACACGCCGTGAATGGGCGCACGTACATACTAGGGATGTTATGGATATCCCTAACCGTAACCGAAACTATCGGATATCCGAAATAAAAAAAACATCCGTAACCGTAGGTAACCGAAACCGATTCAAAATTTTAGGATAATTCCGGATAAAAGCGGGGTCTAAATGTTAATATTTTTTAATATTTGTTATTTGTCTGGCATTCCCTGGCACCATCCAATATCCCTGCCTGTTTTACCTCTATCATAATAGGTGTCATTATAGTACATAAAAGGCTATGTGGGTCGCACAGCACCTTGCTACTTACATTTTTAAAATTCTAATATCCGTAACCGTATCCATAACCGAAACTTCATATCCATAACATCCCTGATAGGTATCGGTCCACTCGCTCTACAAACGTCCACGCCAAAGCTATCCGTTTAGTGGGTTAACCATTACTCGGTCATGTATCAAACATGTGAAACAAATCTCGGTTGAACCGATAAAAGGCAAAGCAACATAAAACATGGCTAGATATCGATCACATAGAGTACATATACACCTATTGCGAGATATAGAATTTTTATAACGGGGCATGATAAAACAAAGGCTATTTAAAACATAAACGGTGACACATTCTAGTAGAACAACATGAGAAGTAGACTAGTTTAAGTATAAAAATGCAGCGAGACTAGCAATTTCTACTAAGTCCATGAGTACGTTGATACATAGCGAGGGCTCTTCATTTAGTATGTTCTATCTCAAGTCACCAGACTAGAGGTAATAATAGTTCTTACTAGAAAGTTACCTAAGCTCTCATTTAACGACGGTAATATGAAAATAGATAACATTGTGGAACTGGCAAACTAATAAGAGACTTCTCACGTATTAATCCACGTCGTCAACGTATTAATGTACATTTATAATATTCGTCGTTAGCTCCTCATATGTGTTACAAATCCCAAAATTTAGATTGAGTTTCCATACAGTGTTTTTGACGTAATAATTCTCAGCAATAAATCTAACTGCAAGCACTCTACAATCTGATTCGAACAAAGGCAACTTAAGAAATTGAATCTGAGTAATTGAAATGAAGGATGATAGAGATATTCAGGTAATAGAGGTTTCTATCTAAGTATTGTTTTTAATTATAACTAAATATAATTAAAAATAATACTTAGCTCTTTGTCAAAGTTTTTACTAAATTCAATTAAAATTATTTAGTATTATTACCTATTCTAGTTATAAAACAGTGTTAGTTGATATTAGGATTACCTATATCATTGTATCCACAATATAGGTACCTTTGTAAGCTGAGCATTTCTCACACGTTTAGAAGGGACAAGGGCAAAACAAGAAATGTCCCTAAAATTTAAAAGTACCTATATTTTTGATGACAATATTTTCGATTTCCCGCGTATTTTTATTTGAAATTATACTAAAAGCGTAAAAACAAGTAATAGTCATATGTATTCCTATTAGTAGTTTATAATTTTAAGTGAAACATAAGAATATTTTTAACTTTAAAAAATTTAAATGTTAATTACATAACTTTTTGTTTTTATGACATTTATTTTTTTGCCCCTGTACCCTTCGTATAATACCGCCTGCGATATGTAAAGTGATCCCAGAAGACTGTCCACATGCTACTAACCTTAGCCTCATTTCCGCAGAGCTGAGCGCCAGCATCAAGCGGGAGAAGATCGTGGAGATATGCGAGGGATGCGGCCAGAAGATCCAGGACCGCTACCTCATGAGGGTCGGCGAGCTGTCCTGGCACGAGCACTGCCTCAGCTGCTGCGTCTGCGGCTGCCCGCTCGCCCACACCTGCTTCACCAGGAACGCCAAGCTCTACTGCAAACCAGATTACGATAGGTAATTAACATTCCAAACGAGCGAGATCGAACAAACTCAATCCGTGAGAATGCTCGAGCTTGCTACCAAAACAAAGCGAATTGTGCCCCCGCGAACTGCTAGCGCTATGCCAGGCGAAATGCTGGGCGTCCAAATTTTCTTGTGTTACCTTTATTATTGTTGTCCTTAGATTGTTCGGGGTGAAATGCACGAGGTGCGGCGATCGCCTTCTGCCGCAGGAGATGGTGATGCGCGCTCAGCAGTACGTGTTTCACATCCAATGCTTTGTCTGCGTGATGTGCTGCCAGCCGCTGCAGAAGGGCGAACAATACGTCATCAGAGCCGGCCAGATATTCTGCCGCCAAGATTTCGAGAAGGAAATGTACTTGATGCAGCATGCTGAGGACGATATGATCATAGACGATTCAGAGCGCCCTCGCGACGGAAGGCGAGGCCCGAAGAGGCCTCGAACGATTTTGACATCAGCTCAGCGCAGGCAATTCAAGGCCTCCTTCGAAGTCAGCCCGAAACCGTGCCGTAAAGTCCGCGAAGCTCTCGCAAAAGACACTGGATTGAGCGTCCGAGTAGTTCAGGTGTGGTTCCAAAACCAGAGGGCTAAAATGAAGAAGATCCAAAGGAAGGCCAAGCAAGAGGGAGACAAGAATACCGAAAAGGATAAAGATAAAGATGAGAAAAATATAAAGCAGGAGTCACCGTCAAGCGAGCACGGGAACTACTTGGGCCTTGATGGATCTTACTCTGCTTCAAGTCAACCTCTGAACCCGAATCTGCCGTACTCTCCAGATGGTGAGCATATTATATACTGTGAAACATAAGGAAAGTCTGAAGGAGATTATCATAAGGTACAATTATGTCAAATAACTTACATTTACATTTTCTCGTTCCAGATTATCCAGCGCATTCTGGCGACAGCTTCTGCAGCTCAGACATATCCCTCGACGGCAGTAACTTCGACCAGCTCGACGAGGGCGCTTCTGATACCATGAGCTTACAGAACCTGGAGGTCCAGCATCACTCGCATCAACACGCTTCTCACGAGCCGCTCAACTTGGGCACGGGGGCTGTGGTGAACCCCATAGACAAGCTGTACCTGATGCAGAATTCGTACTTTAGCACTGATCATTGATTAGATAGCCGACGTGGCGCTGGTCGGCGCTGCAGGCACGGCCAGCGACTGCGCCCCCCGGCTGCTGTGAGCATCTCTGTGAACGCCACAGCAACGGTCACCAGCCACACCAGCACCATCACGCACGCCGCTGAAGCAGCGATGCACGCCGCGATACCGTTTTACGCTGGACAGTACCAAATGCCAAATCAGTATTGAGATTATCCGAGCTCTCCGTAGACATAGAGCAGTTACAATAATTAGTCAAATGCTATTTGCACCCCCATAAAGGTTGCAAGTCCTCTTTTAGTAAAATTGTGTTATTGTTGTAATGTAGAACAACTTACAGAAACCCGACCCCCGTTAGAAGTAGTGTAGTAATTTTGCAGCTTTCGCTTTTGATAAAGACAGTTACAGTTATAATCTTACCTACTAAATGTGAAACTTATGTATATTCGGTGTTTATACATTACTTACTCGTACCTAGTAAGTTAGGACACATCCGGCGTACAAGTGTTTTGGGAAAGTATTCTAAATCCTAAATTAAGAGTGTAAATTATGTACAGATAGTGTTTTAAGCTTCAACAATGTAGAGACCGGTCACTGTATTTCAAATACGTAGAGTTTAGTATTTAGAGAAGGTTTTTGAACTACACACAGTACCTATTATTAATTTGTAGTTAACTTTTGTGTTCTTGGATTTGTTACAGAATATTAGATCAAGCCGATTTTGAAGGGAATTACCCATAGTTACTCATTTTAAAGAATTTTCAGTCTGCCACTGGACAAGGGAAAATATTTTCATTGTCCAGTGTTAGACAACGTAATAGTAATTTTGCCGTAAAGTTAGGAAAATATTTATGTCCGTTACAAGTTAGTTAAATCATCCTCAAACTAGTAAACAAGTAATTCAAGTTTACAAAGTTACTACAAACCATTATGCATCTGAATCTGAAATAGTATAATAATGACCTAGTTGTTACCGATTTATGTAATATTACACTCGTTACCTTCAATGTTAAACATAGAGTAAATAAATAGGAATTCACAAAGCTGCATTTAAAAATAATACAGTTGTAACTTTAATTTAAGCAATTACCTTCTTAATAGTTGTAAATATAAAAGTTATCAGTGTAGGTATTCGTGTAATATTAGTGGGTGTCTACATTGAAATACTAAAAGATAAGCAAAATTAAAAGCCTCGTCATAGGTTTCAATTTGTTTTGTTGGTGATTTTTGTAACTTTGCTGATGTTATAATGATAATATAATATAAGATTCTTATTGTAAAATTAAAAGTAATGTGTACTTAAGTATTCACCTTCATACAACTACACGAGACTTTATTTTATTAAGTACTTTTGCTTCAAACTACACCTACTTAACTAGACACTGTACCCTCTCTAAAATAGTATAATAATCAAAACATAAATCAATTAACGTTTTGTTGTGTAGATATTTAATGAATATATGAATCTATTGTTGTGCTATTAGATTGTTAGGTGCACTTGAATCATAGTTTATTTAACTTATTATAATAACTTTTAACCTACTAACAATTATTTTCTGCATTTACGTGTTATTCTAGTCAAATTATTGTTTAAGAATTATTTTAGTGAAGCGTTACATAAAAGCTGTAAGGCTGCGTATCTACCTAAGAAATATTTTATTTAAATTGCCGCCTGTAATATATAATTTACCTAACTTATTTTACCAACTTATGTGACACCAAAAACAATTTTTCTAGTCAAACATTTTGTGAATTAGTTTAAGTTTATCTGTTGTTATCGTATGCATACTTATACTAGAACATGCTGTATTTTATAAATTGATGTAAATGTAAATTAAAACATCATTATCAATATTTGTACGTATTATTCTCCTGCCGTTAGACTCCCTCAGAGGTTCTAGGTTTGATTCCCAGTTAAAATACTAGCAAATAATCACTTAAAAAAGAAAAACGATTCTGTCATTTTTACACAAGACATTTCTTTTGTTCCAAAATTACCTAAGTTCGTTCGTTTCAGCCAAATGACGTCCACTGCTGGACAAAGGCCTCCCCCAAGGTTTTCCACAATGAACGGTCCTACCTAAGTACCTTAACAATAAATTGGAGAAACTACTTTCGTATCCCGAAAGAAAATCTACATCAATAGATTGAGTGTGTATGCAACATATCGTATGATACCGTACATGCCCCTATATACTTTGCAACACAGGACTTCTCACGCCCGTATTCACAAACATTACTATGAGGTCTCACAGTGCGCCTGGGCCGTGGACGCACGGGTTGACATATATACATATATTTCAACGCTGGGTGTTCGATTTGCTGCTTTACTTAAGCAAGCATCGTTTGTGAATACCGGCGTATGTCTAGCCCTCCCCTTCGTTCTTGCCTTTGATCGTGTCACAAACCCAACACACGTGGGCTGGCGTTTGCTATTGGACGTTGGGTCACGTTTACGTCCAAGGTTTGTCCAAGATACACATCAGTGTATTGGATCCAAGATTCCTTGGTGCAAATACCAAAGTGTTATCGTAGCAAGCCACTCGGAGGCCTCTAACCATACTTAAGGCAGGGTACTCACCTGCCATGTAGCACGTAACGTAGCATGTGTAACGTAACCAACCTTCAAGTGAGTACGGCTCGTCCACGGTCATCGCGTATCTGGCTGCGAGTTCCTGAATCTTACTGCGAGCCGCCTTTGTGCTCGCAGTGATACTGCCACTTGGCGGGTCGCTACCATCTCTATGCGAACCACGCACGAGCAAGCAGCTCGCAGCGGGCTCGTGTCTATGTACTCACTTGATACAGTATTTATTTATTTCAGGGTTCGAAAATATCCGATATTTATTATAAATATCAAAATATCGGATATTTATGATATATATCCGATATATATCAACTTTGATATATATCAATTTTGTATGAAAGCCATATTATTATTTTATTGTATTATTCATGAATACTATTGCATATGTGCTACATAAACATGTTTTTAATGTTTTTAAACCTTAAAATCAGACAAATAAAGCAAAAACATAAAATATTATTTTAAATACGGCAAAATCAACTAAAAAAATAAAAATCTTATGTCAAAAAGTACAAAATACAGTAACAAATTTTAAAAGTTGATATATATCATCAAAACCGGCTTGATATATATCGGATATATATCCGATATATATCTTGATATATATCCCTCGAACCCTGATTTATTTATTTATTGTTTAAGATTTACCAACAACATATCAATTTACATGCATACATACTACATTGTTGTAAGAAATTGCAACAAAATATTGCGCTATTTTTTTATTGCGCTGATTCTGCTCCATACTGATGTCTGGAGGCTTTAATGGATGGTATTGTTTGTTTACACATACAATCTCACTATTTTGTTGCAATTTGTTGGAAAACTTTGCGCGCAAAAAGCAAATCTAGTATGAAAATCGTCAAACTTCTAATGCTCGTAACTCAGTTCAGACTGAGTTTAGAGGTATACATGTCATAGTAAGTTTGGTTTATTACACTATTTTGTAATTAAAAAACAAAGTTTGGTCGATGGCCGCGCGAAAAAAAAAACGCCAATTTCCGGCACTGTCTTTTACCTCTAAAATGATTAAGTAAGTTAGCTACATCAGGTAGCTACGAAGTGAACACGCGTGCTAGTACAGTCAGCGTCAAAAAGTTGACAAGACAACCTTATTTCAATTGTAACAAAGACGTGTTGGCTGATGAGAATTTGGTTACTTTGGGCACACTTTGGGTGTCACGAACTATTTGACGCTGTGCGTTGAGGTAGGTATTACATTACTGCTATCGGAGCTTCCATTGATTTTCAGAGTACGGCCTAAATGCAGTCCGCTTCGAACAGCCCTTACTAACTTCAATTAACATTTACTTGCAGAATTCCATTCAAATCGAACTGAATATGTAGGGTAGGTAATGCTACAGTACAAAGCATACGCTTCCTATGAAATTTAGACATTGTGAAGCTGTTATTAGAGAATTTAAGTAATGAGGAAGTGTTCCTGGGATTATAAATATCACAAAGCAACGGGAATTTTGTTTCTGAAATGAAAACTACTAGTCCCTACCTACCTTATTCAATGGTAAGTAATTATTTCACAATAATATGATTTATGACATAAAATATAATAATAATATAAGCTTCATCATCATCAAGAAGTCCACTGGTGAACATAGATCTCCCATAGGATTTCCACCACCAACCAAATTGGCTAGTTGGTCTTTATAAGGTCGTCCTGGATTTTGAGGATTTGGGCACTTAATCTTATCAATAGGTTCTCTAATGCCCGTTTTCACCATCAATACCTAATTTTTAAGTGACCCCTATGAATACAAAATGCCTGTCATGTGTTACCATAGGGGTCACTTAAGAATTAGGGATTAATGGTGAAAACGGGCATAAGTCTCCTATGCCCTAATCATCACGAAATCCTAATATGCGACATACAAATTCTAATGCTTCAAAAATAAGACTAGTGTCCGTTTTCACCATCAATCCCTAATTTCTAAGTGACCCCTATGGCAACAAAATGCCTGTTATGTGTTACCACAGGGGTCACTTAAAAATTAGGGATTGATGGTGAAAACGGACACTAGTCTTATTTTTGAAGCATTAGAATTTGTATGTCGCATATTAGGATTTCCAAAAAAGCATAGGTACCTACGAGTCTTATTACCTACTTAAGTAGGTGCGATTAGTGAAGTTTCGTGCGATGTATTGAATTCGAAAAAGTGGTAGGTATTTCATACTTTATTAGTAACTAACTTTCCACCTGCGTGAAATTTTGTCTGTCACAGGAAAACTTTTCTAGTTATGTCTTTCCCAGGACTCAAACTATCTTTACCTAAGCATCACAATCGGTTCAGTGGTATCGGCGTGAAAGCGACACAGACAGACAGACAGAGTTACTTTCACCTTTATCATATTATATTAGTAGGGATTTAATAATTACCGTCGCGGTAATACCATAATTTTACCTTTCACTGCGCTATACCTAATTGCTAATTAATTATTAACTTTTTATTATAGTGTTTGACACGTGCTTGGAAATGCTGTTATAAAATTAAATGTCAAATGGCATGCACATGTCAAAATATTAATAAAAGTTGGTTGTAGGTAATTACGCAGTTGTTTTTGACGAACGACATTCGCATAGTTTACCCTCCTCTTTTGATTATAATATCGGCGTTTAATTTCGTATAATTAGACAAGCGGGCGAGTTCAATAAAGTTAATTGAACCTACGATTGAGCCACGTCAGGGTAAAGAGAACCAATGAGGTCCTGCCTAGTGGCTAGTTTAACGATAGAAGATTATGGCAAGTAGATAGGTATATACCTACCTACATACTACATAAAAATACTCAACGATTGAGCTTTTATTAATGACCAAAAATCCTGTCCAAAGATTTTAAAGTAAGCCTAGGCGCAGACCATCGATTTTTCGTCGACCGATAGTTAAGTCGGGCAGTTGATCAGTATGGGCATGTATGAAAGTGCGCACATTAGGTAGGTACACCGATTTGATTTGGCCGATTCTTCGTACAAATTAAAATCAGGCCCAACTATCGGCCAACTAAAAATCGGTGGTCTGCGCCTAGTCTAAAACTTAATATTAGTACATGTTAAACCTTAATATTTCAGCCCCCTTAGGCAAGTTGCACTTTTTGATCGAATCGAAAATCGAATCCGTCAAAACTCCATACAAAAAAGGACTTTCGACCACTATTCGACCGGTTTGCGGTTGCGATTATAACGTGCACTTTGTCTAGAGGCTAGACCCACTGGTTTGCTACAATGACTACTACTGGGTTCGATTCCTGGCTAAGTCAATTGCCTACAATATTTTCTATTGACCCTTATTTGAAAATTAATTAATGTACGACTGCGTTGAATTTAATTATTCTGTGATTGAATTTAATGAGAACCTCCTCCTTTTTTAAGTCGGTTAAAAGGACCATCTCATCCACATTTCATCGGTCGGTCGCTCGGAGCAATACTGTGCTCCATATACTCTATGCTGTGCTCGGAGCTCAGATTGTTCTGTATTCTGAGGCTCAGAGTGAGTAAGGCAAAGGTCATACAGGCAACGCCATCTGTTGGTAAAATTAGGATTGAAGAATTGTTGGATGTAGCTCAGCAAAGTGACTTCTGAGTTCTGACTGAAACGTCAAGTGGGAAAAATCAATACTGGGTTATTAGTTCCCATTTTTGCCACTTGACGTTTCGGAATCGCAGTCATAAGTCAAAGGATTGCCGCTAGATGGCAGTAAAAAGCCATTTAAGAAAAAATGCTGTGCTTTTCCAATGTGCTTTTCTATCCATTTTGAAACAGTCAAATGTCGTTGACGCGTAGAAATCGTACTATTGAAAAACAGTCATAAAATCCGTATTCACGTGTCATTTCAATAACGATTACGATTCTTCTTCTTCTTCTTCTCCTCTATGGCTGATAGATAGGATCGCAACCACAGATAATATCAGTGGGTCAAGACAAAGTGCAAATTATAATCGCAAACCAGTCGAAAAGTGGTCGAAAAGCCCCTTTTTTGTATGGAGTTTTGACGGATTCGATCAAAAAGTGCGTTTTGTCTAGGGGGGCTGTGATCGCAACTCAGCGATTTGTCATTTTTGACGTTTTCACTGGCATTGATAGACCAAACTTCAAAATAGGTAATACCGCGGAGGTATGATCGAATACGAATAAAAAATCGAAATCGAAACAAAATCGGACGAATAAAACGTGAATACGAAAAGTGACACATTGCTTAAATATCGTTGAAGTTTTGATACGTGAAATGGGTCACTGGGCAGCATAGACAAAAGTAAAACATAGGAAACTGGGCAGTTTGGCATTGGAAATAATCAAATGTTTTTTTAATCAATTAATTAATTTGAACTTCTTGAATGTATCCTAACATTAAAAGACTGGTCGAGAACGAGAATGCCTTGGCCTTATGATATGGCATTAAATTCGCCTTATGTTCAAATTTTGGCAAAATTATAAATATAAATAACTAGATAAATACAGCGTTATCTAGACTTGGCTCCCCGCCTGCCTTCCTTTTCTGAATCTTGTCAGAGTAAAGGACATTGTCAGAAACCGCCTAAAAAACCGCCAAAAAACATTAACCCATCATAATTATTTTCTATTTTTTTTAATACATTAAGCACCCTTTCGTTCTAATGGACACTTAAGCATTGAAAAATTAAATAAATAAGTCTTTTAACGTTTATTCTATAATACTATTACAACTTCCGGACGTTTTGGTGCGTGGCATGGTCTAAAACCTATCAAGTTCCATAATTTTTGGCGATAAAATCTGTACGAGGCATTACCGTACTTTATTGCTGGGAGTCCATGTATAGTGATGTTCCTGCGGCCATCATAGACAATAAAATATCGATTTTGAAAATAAAATAAATCGATTAAACTGCTTTGAAGACTAGATTTGCGTTAAAAGCTAAAAAGATATTGACACTATTACAAGAAGCTATCTAAAGTGTCCAACTGGTCGAAGGTCGTAAATAAAATAAAAATAATTAGGACCATAAACTGATATTCATGGTATCATAACTGTAAAAGTGTCAGAATCCGATGTTGAATCCAATGCCAGTTGAAGTGTGAGAAACATATATCAACCTAGTATAGTTGCCAGTCTCTCATAATCTATGCCAATGAGGGTTTTCGCGATTGAAAAATCCGCCAGATGGCAATACGTAGACGTGAGGTCCAAATGCTGCATGATTGGTTATTTTTGACATGACATTGACAGATATCCACCAATCATGCAGCATTTGGACCTCGCGTCTACGTATTGCCATCTCGCGGATTTTTCAATCGCGAAAACCCTCATTCATAGCACATATAGAAGTTGTTTTAATTGTTATCTGGGTAATTCATCCAACACAAATCTTCCTAATTTAATGCATGGCATAACCTGCAAATGAAATGAGTTCATCATTTGTAATTAAGCATTTTTGGTCTTGTTTTATTGTTTAAATAGGTCTCTTTTAAACTTCATTGAATATGTTGGTTCATCTGGACCTTTTTAAGTAACAGTTGACAATAATGAGCAGCACCAGTGATTCCACAGCAAGCACTTTTATTGTAATTGCTGCTTAACACTTTATAAGTTCGAAGTTCGATATTAACCTGAAACAAATAGGTACTTAGATTCATTGTATAAAACACGTATCATTCACTGTATCCTGCAATCTATGCCTGCAATGTACCTACTTGTATTGTATTTTATGTCCAAAATCCAAAGTATGTTGTTACTCCATGAAACTATCCATATTTGGTTTCCATTGATTTAAATGGAGTTATGAATGATTTTGTAATGAAGATTTAATCCTTTGTGTGGTTCAATACTTAAAACATGATGTTGCTGCAAGTAATAACCTATCTCGAGTGAAATAACTTACTTATTAACTTACTTGAGAGAATTTTTTTCGTAAACAAACATCAATCCAACAGGCAATCCATGCACATGTAGTTCTTATTAATAATGACTGAGAAATTATTGATTTCAATCAGAAACAATTAAAAATCGTAGAAAAACACGTTTTTTCGATGAAAAATTTTTGACGTTTATTTTTTTTAATAATGTCACAGTTGTAGACTTGAGACGGAACTAAAGTGATTAAAGTGAAAATTACGACTTTGAATTATTATACTTTTAAATAACCATTTAATTTATAGAAATCACATAGATTCAATAAAATAATTTATGAATAAAAGCTGAAGTTGTAATTCGAAAAGGTTTCTAAAGTTTCTAACATGCAAAAGACCACTGTCGCATACAGAACTTACAGAAGACAACTATAAAAAAAGTCACTTCCTCTCGGAACTGTCAAAAAAATTCACTCTCTATGGAGCTGTCAAACTCTATGGCGTTTCCACCCCGTGGTTGTAACGCGACGATCGTTGACGCTCGGATTCGCGTTTGGCGGGCCCTTCTTTTGAATAAGGCGCGGGCTCGCGCGCTCTGCCGGCGCGCTCTGCCAGCGCGCTCTTTCCCAACGGTCACCGCGTATTGTGTTTTTCTAAACTCGACCTTATCGTCAGTCCGCCCATGGCCGCGACACGCGCGTTCATTCTGTGTTGTTTTGGCTGGATATTATTGTAATTACTGTAACCAAGTACTGTATGTGTTATGTTTCGACGTGTTTAAGACAATATACGTTGTTTTGTGATACGATTCGTGCCTTTGAACTCAATAACGACCCCGAGACCCAACTTAACAAGTTTACATACATTAATATCAAACTTGTTTTTTTTCTTATTGAAATCGGTTTTTTATTTACAATTAATATTTTTACAATTATTTTAAAAACGTTTTGATTTTGATGATTGGCACATTACAAAAGTATTGCTAATTTAAGTTTGTATTTACATTATTTTGATTATAATAAATGTTTTTTCCTATCTTCTTTTATTTTTTTCTATTTTCCTCGACTATTAAAAGTTTTATATATCCCTAATGCTGAATTTCATAAATCCGAAAGTTAAGGCAACATTTGTTGATAAACACTGTTCATAAACAATGTTTCATCTTCTCTGTAAACAGTCTTTAAACAAAGGTGATGAAACATTGTTTATGATACATGTTGCCGTGCTCCCCGCTATGAGTGGAGAGCAAGTGTGGACGGCCAAGTTTCAGAAACCAGTGTTTATGGTAAATTTGATTTACACTAGTCATAAACAGTTTATTAACAAATGTTGCCTAATGAATACCTACATGGCTTAACTTTATTTGAATAGTTAATAGACGAAGTATCAGTTTAGTGAATCGTTCGTAGGCGAAATATCTAATGACGACTTGTGCTGTCGACGAATCGTACGCTGGTGAAAGGTTCTGTCGGCGAAGCGGCGATATACGAAATGTTGTGTCGGCTGGCAGTCATGTGAAGAAACGAATGTCGGCGACCCGTTCCAGACTCTATTACAATACCTGGCTATCTCGGTGATTAATATCTCGTTTTAACTCGCAAGAGCAAAAACGGCTACTGGTTAAAAAATAACCGAACATAAAGTGGCTGCTGGTTAATATCTCGTATTAACGCTACTGGTTAAAAAATTACCCGCAAAAATGACCGATTAAAAAGTGGTTGCTGGTTATTATGCTCGTGCTTTGTCCTCGAGATTAGAAATAAGAACTATGTAGTATCACGTACGGTGATGCCAGTTTACGCACTGTTAGTTGAGGATTTTTTTTTTTCCCTACTATAATTTCTGGTCCTACACTTTCCCAACTTGCAACCTCACCCTTCAATTGCCTGCCCCCCCTCCTGAAACTTCTGGTATGAAGTATTCTGCACCTCAACATGGAAAATCCCCTAGTTTTGCAAACCCCTCCAATTATGGCCGCCACTCCTAGCTTCCCCCTCCTGAAACTTCTGGTATGAAGTATCCTGAACCTCCTCAACTTGGAAAATCCTCTAGTTTTGCAATCCCTCTAGCCCTCCCTCCTAAAATTTTTGTTCCTACATCTCCCCAACTTGCATAACATCCTAATTTTGCGACCCCACCCTCCAATAGATTATTAATAAAACAAAGAACTTCCATAATCACTACTTTATTAATGGTGTGAAATCAGACTTAGGATAGATACAATTTTATAATAGGTACTTTAAAATGGTTAACTATTAATAGCCCTTACATGTTTATAACTACTAAAACAAAATAGCGAACTTATAAAAAACATTTTTTGACAATGGTAAAACCATGATAATGATTACAATTACTTAAAGAGATACACGTAGATTAGTCATTAAATTTAATTTAACATTATCTAGTTTAATTAACAAATAATCATGAATACATTTCAAATTGGTCGTAGTTACATAACACCGTTACAGTAAATTTTGAAAAATTGAAGGTATGCTTATTCTATATGTTATCCAATTGAACTTTACCTATGAAACATTGAGTTCTCATCTAATTTTCCTATATGATGTGAGAAAATCATTGCCACGAGTGTGTGCAAGTGTATCAAGTGTGTAGAAATACATGCAGTAATTAAAAATGTCCTTTAAATTCAAGATATAAGACGTCATCTAGAATAATGTGGAATTTTCCAAGTGACATACACTTTAAACCGCTAACCAATTACCAAAATGGCGCATTGCTAGAACATTTTAACCAATATCTTTCATTCAATATAATTTATACTACAACACCCAATTCGCGCACTACTTATACGCGCCGTAAAAATATAATAATTTACAATTTCTTTCCAATGTGGCTGAACATACCCACGTGGCATTACATTAGATAACTTTATACATTTAATTTGTTATTATCAAGACAAATAAGATTCAAAATTGGAAACTAAGAAAAACTACGAGCTTATTAATTTACCGACCATATTCTGTAAATAAATGTAAATTATAAATTGCACGTAAAAGAGATATAATTATTTGTATAAAATAGGTTAATTACCTAATGTTCATAAACTGAAAATAATTATAAACATAACGAAATTACAATTGGTACAATAATTACTCTCATCGCTTAGTATAAGATTACAATAAACATTTCTTCGGTTAAATATGGTAGTAAACATTTTACTTATTCATCTATAATATGAAATCGTGCAATGTTTGTATATCTGAACGAATCTACTGTCTTATTTAAAGATACACAAATTTCATCAAATATGTCCTGTTATGTTGGGTCATCTAAAATGTATCGTTTATGTATTATTTACTTACATACATGCATATTACTAAATTTATGTATACACACGACCGACGCGTCGAACTACCCTACAGAATATGCTGACGCGTGCAATACGTAGGGTTAACACCCAATATTATTTTATCCACTATCAGAGGGATCACGCGAGCATTCGTCGAACATACCATTTTATAACTATTTATATTACAAATTTTCATGGACTACTCATGTGCACATGAGTAGTGCGATCCAAAACCGTTTAAATACAATCGTTGATGAATTTTGAAAATAGCATGCCCATTACTATTCGCACGTGCTGATATGAAACATGCAAATAATTATAAGCTACGACATTCTACTTCAACGAACTGCTAGTAACAAGCCTGCTCATTTTATGGTACTGTGAATCCTAATTTGCCAATTGTGAATTTACTATAATAATTTTATGCAATATCTTCAAATGAACTAGCGTGATATGATTGAGTGCATGTTCGACGAATGATACAGTGATATCTGCTTAATTCTAGATTTTTATATTCAACGAACTTCGTAAACCATAGATTGTCCGTCTGTGCATGTTACCTAATACGGAGGATAGCCATTTATGTAACAATACCGCAAAAACACACACACAAATACGTAGGTATTTTGGTAAGTGTATTTCCCATAGAATAAAATACCTACTTTATTTATAACGGCAAATTATTCTTAATTCTAGTATTGCATGATGCGCAACACTTTTTGTGATTGCCGCATCCAATATTGCACCTCATTAAATTAATGGTTTTAAGGTAACTCATAAGTACAAGATCTGATCACGTCAGCGCGACACGTTTCGTCAACTATCTCCATCTATGCCTAAATGATTTTAAAATGCAATCCTGTTCTAAACAATAAAAAAAGAAAAGGATAGACAGACGAATCTTAGGTGAACATAATTCGTTGAATATTCAAACCATCCGTAACTTTTACTTTAACTTCTATTTATATTTCTACTACTGAAAAGGTAGATGTGTTGTCAATGCGCCTTCTATGTACAACGGAGTGGCGGGCAGCCAGGCCGGACAGCGCAACGTTAACCATAAGTTTAAATCTACAATATCATTAAATGACCTTCAAAATAACGCATCTTTGGCCCGACACCGTGTCGTTTTACCACCTCTGAAACTGAATGTCAGTGTTATCTCTGTGTAATAGAAGAAAAATCATGTTACGGCTGTGAAATTGATACCACAGGCACTTACAGAAAGGATTTAGACCGTAAGGATTTAGATAGTATAGTAATTTTGGCAAAAAAGATGACTATTTTTTGGTGGGGAAAGAGATACCCCGACTTTCAGTTACAGAGGCAATCTACATCACAGAATCTGGATGATTATTAGACAATTTTACAACACTGAATTTCGCTACACATTTTTCGAATACAATGACAATTTTTAGACTAATCAACATCTAATAAGCACGTCGCCATTTCCTGGGCTTACATCACCATCAAATTTGTCAACTTTAGGTAATAATTTTAGTGCAGTCTGTACACAGTGCAACACAGATTTCATATATTAATTCTAACACTATTTATGCTGTCTCGCCGATAAAAAGATGCACGTAATCTTTTTACACACCACAGCTGGACTGTTGAAGGTCAACTATCTAAATACACCTTAAAACTATTTACACCTAGAGCCTAGTTCTCGTAGTGGAGTACATTATTTTCTTATTCTAAGACAACGAAATTAAATATAACTAAAAATATATTTGGACTGAAAATAATATTGGAAATAAAAAACCTATCACTAATAGAATTCAAACAAAATTAATTTTAAAAAATTGTAAAAACAAAACTTGACGATACGATTTGGAAAATAGCCCTTTAATTTTCTTGATTTAAGCGTGATGCGGCCTCTCGTCACGGAGCTTACTGTTATAACGCCAATAATAATTTAAAATACCGCGTAAATTCTCCGAACTGAAGTAAGCGCTTAAAAGCCACATTTCAGTAGAATACAATAGGTAGGTTTTAAACCCGTCCGAACCGGAATGACGTTATCGAACACGTAAGCACGAGGTATAGAGTTCCCTCTGAACAAAAATAGGGTAAAACTTAAACTCATTCAGAGTTACATGAGCAACGGAACGCATCCACGATTTACAAATCAATTTTAATTTTTGGTATAAAGGTATTTAAATTCAGTGTGTTCGAAAAGTTTTACGCGTAAGATTCAATTAAGTGAATTCGGCGAGTACGCGCTAGCATCGGTGCGAATAGCAGGGCATTCACCTTAATCTGATTTACTAGGAATTCCCAGGCCGAAGCATCGAATGACCTTTACTTATTGTGACCTTGTGACCTGATTCGTGTACAATTCCATAAATCAATAATGCTAGGCTAAATTAAGATTTATTAAAACGATGTCATACAACAACGAATATAACTTACTCTATGATATATTGTTTGATTAAACACGTACAACTTTTCACCCTTGTAACCTGATACATCACGGGAGTCTCATCATCATCAAATTTCAAATTTCTTTACAAAACTTTTTTCTTTTTAAGGTTCCGTACTTACAGAATACTAACGTAACGACAAGTACTAAAATGGAATTAACAATAAGTCTTTTATTTAACAAAATTACAACGAACGTGTATTTGTTTAACAGGGGATATCACTGTATTTATTTTTTCTTTCCATCTTGAGAGCACTGAGGACAATACCATTTACCTTTAGGTATTATCTTAATATTTACACAATCGAAGTGGAACCACTCTGTGAGACATTCTGGGTTGTCACAACCAATCATTTCATCATAAGATACTTGGTGGCAAATGCAAAATGTGGGCTCATTGGGGTCTACAGGCATGTCCCACACATCACTAGAATCAGCCTCGCCCGCAGCCGAGTCTAAATTTGAATTCTCAGACGGTACTTCTTTTTTCACAGCAATTGCTATCGGTGCTGTACTCTTACGTGGAGTCTTTTTCTTGGCTGCGGAACTACCCGACGCGGCTGCGTCGCCTTCGCTGGACGTACCAGCGCATTTCTTTAAGCCAGTGGCTTCAGTCTTTACATTGCCTTTGCGAATTTTCCTACCTTTCTTTACCGTTGTAGTAGTAGTAGAAGGCTCCTGGTTTGCGGTGGCCTTCTGGGCTGCACGAGCAGTCTTCTCTTGCTTTTGGTTCTCGGACTCGAAGCGCGCAATGTCTTTATCCAGGCGCCGTATGTGCTTGTCTACCAGCGCATATGTTTGGATTGCCACCTGAACTTTGTCATCGCTGTAGTCATTTATTTGCGTGAAGATTGCTTGAATTGCATTCACCTTCTCCGTCCTCGTATCCTCGTCCAAATTAGGAATGTTCGGCAAGAACTCGTCAGCCATGAGATTGCTTCTCCTCATTAGGCCGTGAGCTCGATCGTCCAAATGTCGCATTAACTTGAAGTTCATTTCCAATATGTTCGGCAAATTACGAAGATTTTTTAATTGTTCCTCTAAATAGGGCGCAGACGTCATTTTTGCCACAAGTATTTTGTAACGACACGAGTATGCAAGTAAACAGCACGAAACTTTATATTATCCTTCGAAAATGCAGATCGACTGAAGCGCGAATTCCAGGAGGTTATTGTGATACCTGTAGCTTTGCTGACGAGTCCCAACGGACATGCGCGGAGAAAATCTATCTGTTCTATTAATAAACTTGTAGTGACAACGTGAAAACTGCAAAATGTAGTACAATCTATCTCTATCTTCACACTTCACGTCATTCATTTACGAAGTCGCTAGCGGTCAGACGTATGCATACTGACGAAATAAAAAAACTCGCAATTCAGCTACATTAACAAATCAAAATTTAATTTTAAGGATGCATCTCTCAATTCCGAACCATTTGTGTAAACATTTCTCCGTAGTTTTAATTTAGTAAGGCTGAGTTGCACCACCTAACTTTGACCGTAACTAACGATAACCGATGTTTTTGTATGGAGTTTGACAGATTTTTGACATTTGTCAAAGTTAAAGTAAGATGATGCAACCCAGCCTAAGTCACAAAACGGAAACATTCGCATCGCACATAATAACGTATGGTGTTTTATTATCTTTAATTTACTTGTAACTACGACAGTGTGCTGAAAATTTGAATCTTTATAATTTTATTAATATAAAATAATTATTTTAAATGAAAATCCCAACACGAACGGAACGCTGTTAATAGTAACAGAGAGCTATAACAAATTATGTTCTGTCAATATTATTTCTTTCTAGCACAGATTTATAGTCCAGTCATTACGTACATTCAAAAAAGAAAATGAATTTGCGCTTCTAATTTTTTAATATGTTGTAGGGGATGCCTAGAAAAGCTTAACTTGAGATTGTCGACCAAACTTTCCTAGGAGCTTTCGCCGCCATGTTGAAAAAAGGGGTAAAATTTGTTTTTCGGCAATAACTCGGCTATCCGATGAGACTCGAAAATTTTTGTAGGACACTTTTTGTAGCTTTCTTTGTGCTCTACAATAACGCCCGAACCATTTTTAGCGTATCATGCATCGTTATCGAGATATCGATCGATAAAGTCAAAAATTTTGGACACAAATTATTTCGGAATAATTAAATAATTAACGTCAGATACGTACAACATAACTTCGAAGGAAAGGTTGCAATCATATTCGACGGTTATCCGACTGATATGACACTCGCTGGAACGAAAACTTCGGAAAGAGTACGACGTTCGAGAAAAAACCAATCGCCGGAGTTCACATTCGATGAGACAACTACTCCAAAAGTTAGCCAGGAGAAGTTTCTCACAAGGGATCAAAACAAGAACCAACTAATACAAATGCTTTGCCGTTACTTAAAAAAAAGTAATTAAAAAGTAATTAAAAGTAATTAAATTTTACTTTTTACTTTTTAATTAATTATTTAATTATTTCGGAATTTTTCATATTTATTAAGACCCAAAGAAAAAAAAAGAAAAAAACAAAAATTGTGTCCAAAATTTTTGACTTTATCGATCGATATCTCGATAACGATGCATGATACGCTAAAAATGGTTCGGGCGTTATTGTAGAGCACAAAGAAAGCTACAAAAAGTGTCCTACAAAAATTTTCGAGTCTCATCGGATAGCCGAGTTATTGCCGAAAAACAAATTTTACCCCTTTTTTCAACATGGCGGCGAAAGCTCCTAGGAAAGTTTGGTCGACAATCTCAAGTTAAGCTTTTCTAGGTATCCCCTACAACATATTAAAAAATTAGAAGCGCAAATTCATTTTCTTTTATTTGCCTTTTTTTCGGACGAAATGACTGGACTATTATAGAAATAAACATTGAGATTGGGGATGTAGATGTTCATGAGTAAATGTTATTATTAACTGTTGGCATCAAAAATTGGTTCTCTTGTCGCACTGACTCCTGTCATAGTAATGAACCGAGTAACCAAGAAATCGGCGAGTTTCATTGGGTCTAAAATCACATTAAGATCACATTACGACACAACTTACCTGCATTATCTTGAAATTTGCAGATGTTGAATGAGACTCCTTGTCGTAGTATCATCTATATGTCACGGTAACATTGTGAATTTCGTCAGATTATAATCTGACGTAGTTAGATTACAATCTAACCTAACCTAACCCACTGTTAGTTTACAATCTCACGCGTTATATTATAAACTGACGGAGTTCACAATTTCGCGTTGACATAATATACACTGACGACGTGATGATCATGGAAAACTTAAAATTAACTTCATATAATTACAGTACTTGCGGGTGCCGGAGGGGATTAGACAACAGCGCGGGATAGACCACATCCCACATAGAGCCACCTCAATAAACGTTAGGGCTATTTTAAACTAAACTATAATATGTATTTAACGTAAACAAAGAAAAAAACCTTAAACCGGGTTTTATACCGGGGGTTGATTTCGGACCGCACCATATTCTCACACGCAAATAAAGTTGTTACAACAGAGTCAGCATTGCGAACGATCAACATCAATTTTCAACGGTGACCCTGCAGCGAAACGCTTTATTTACCGTAATATGGCGTGGAATAAAATCCTTATCTTCTTGTAGCATAGTACCATCCAACATTGGTTTACTACCCACTACGGCGTCGACTACGAAAACTTGGCGCGAACAACCGCGACCTCAACAGTCCAGATCCAGCTTAACACCATTCCAAAGCATTGTCCTTTCACTTATATGATGCTGTTATCCGAGTGTAGGGAGAGGGTTGCTTCTTGCACTGCGTGCTAGTACGAGAAGCTAAACAGGTTTCAGGTGGCTACTTCGTCCGCCGGCTCGAACTCGAGTTTGACATCTCCGGTCAGACCCTCGACGTCGACCTCGTTCTCGGTCGCGTTCAACATGTTCAGAGTCACCTGGGGAAACGCGGTACGACAATATAAGTACCCGGTTATGGCGGAATGGCAGGCCCGGGCCACATAGCCGAGAACATCGCTTGGGGCCACGCTCGGTTGTGTAGCTGTGCTCAGTGATAATACGTATATGTCACCGTAAAATTGTGAATTCCGTCAGATTATAATCTGACGTAGTTAAATTACAATCTAACCTAACCTAACCCACTGTTAGTTTACAATCTAACGCGTTATATTATAAACTGACAGAGTTCACAATTTCACGTCGACATATACAATAAAATTTTACTTACTAAGTGAAAGGGAAAACATTTGAACTATAGGTAAACGACGTAAAGACTCGAACAAGGTAAGCAACGTGGCACAAGCGTCGTCGTGACAGAAAAATCGGGTCAATTCGCTTGAGCGAGTAATTTTATCACTCAGCGTAGCTTTAGGCGTCTCCAGGCTGTGTGGTTGGGCCGAACGGTTGCAACTACGCGCCAACGCATCACCGCTCGGCTACTACTTGCAGATAGCGGCAGGCGGCAGCGGCAAGCGGCGAGCGCGACCTGACGGAGCGGTGAGCTTCCATCGTAGCGTCCTTTATTACATTTCTGTGCAATTAAAATAAAGCCCACCGCTCTACATAGTTTAACAGCGGTAAATTCATGACCGAGCGGTTTTTTGACATTTTATTTCAAGCTTCAAACTAGAGATGGTTATTTAAACTGTTAAAGAGAATTACATTTAAACAATATTTATGTATTAAATAAAGGGCGGTAAATTGAACGTGTCGTCAACATATGAATATTATATTATTACATGCGCACCAATTAAATTGAATTCAAATTACTATACCACCACCATTCAAGAATATTCAAATGATGAGTCGACGTCACACAAAACGCGATAGTTCTCGCATGTAGAAAAATTCTCAAAATCTGTAAATACTTTAGATATTACCGCCATTTCTAATTCGAAGTTATTAGACATGATTCTGTGAACCTTAACCTAATTATAAGCATACTACCTTTTTCATCGTCTCGGAATCTTGTCTAATAACGCGTTAGGGCGTAGATGCAGCCGTAATATTAAAGTCACAATAGGGAATATGCAAGAGACATGTTTTAAAAAGTACAATACAACATAATTAAATTCAAGTCTTTTATAATTAATGAATGAAAAACATCTTAGAAATAAATAAAATGCACTTTTTATTTATAACCAATCAAAACTAAACTAACTCGGTAAATTAAATAATAAATCAAAGAAAAACTATTTGTTTCTACAAATACTAATAAAAAAACATGCATATTCCCTATTGCTTTAAGTGTCTAGGTTTCACAATTATATTATCAATAAATAATATAAAATTACCACGAGTTAAGCTAAACTGGCTAAGCTCACGTAGTGATGCGTTGTGTCATACAAAATTTTGTACAATTGTATCACGAGTCACGACCCAAAAGAGCTAAGCAATACAAACTGAATTACTATACTCTGCTAGCTAAAACTATTGCTTCTAGGCTAAGTGAAATAAATTCGTCTTTCTTCCACTCCGTGCGTATAATTTCAGTGTAATATAAAAAATACATTGTACACGGTGTCCCGTGGCAGACTCAGGAGGTAGATAAAACAAAATACTTAGTTTACAAAATAAATATGTATTTCTTATCCAATCAAACATTACATTTATATCATGAAGATGATGCAGTCCAACATTTTTTCAGTGAGTACTGCACCGACTCACAGATTTTTTTATTCAGTACTCCGCCGTACGTCTCGGTAACCTCTGACAATCTGGATGACCATACTGCCAACAAATTGGTGCTCGGGTTGTATGGAGTAAGCACTCTGTCAAAGAAAGTTTAAAGATTCCATATAAAACATTCGCTTGTCAACAAGTTAATAATTACGCTACAGCGCTGATTTTAACACATACCATGTATCTTCTTTTCTTGATATTTGTTTAACATTGCACTTCTAGCAGATTAATACACGAAAAACATTTTACGTAGATAGCATCAATCGCAAAAGCACAGTGTTGGCTAGACGTATCCATAAATTTCCGCAAAAAAATGTCAATTTTATCCTAAATCTGCCACGGCGGTACTGTTGTTGCAACGATTTAGCTGGCAAGCTTAGTTTTATCACGCTTTGGGCCCATTTTCCACCAAGACGGAGTGGAGAAATGTTTTGAATAACTAATTAGATTCAATTCAGTCAATGCCATTAAATTCGAATGAAATCTAATTGGTTATTAAACATTTGTCCGCTACGCTCCGCCTTGGTGGAGACCCGGCCTTAAGTGCACAGAATGAAAACTTAATTGTGTATCTATGTATCTACCTGAGCAAAGCTAAATTAGCTTTACTCGTGATTGTGGCCTTCGCTGTGAACTTTTCGCTCAACGTGACAAAACAAAACCAAATTGATATCAACGTCCGAGTATGTGACAGAAACTTATTAATGCTAGTTCCTTTTTAAGCCATATTTTGTTAACGTAACCTTGCTCTCAAAATGTAAATCAACATAAAAGTTGTAAATTTATATACGATTGTTAACCGCCTTCTTGATTTAGGTTCCCAGAAGGTGAAACTATTCTTTGTACCCTGTTTATTGGTAAAGAGCCTGATGCTCAGACACTAATGACTCTTTCAAATCAGATGTTTTGAGAAGAACGGTTGTCATCCGTTTGTAGGACTGCACACGGGAAATTGTATGATAATAGCGTTGGAATAAAATTGACAAGTACCAACAGTAAGAGCTCTTTCAAATAAGACGTTTTGAGCCGGACGTTTGTTGTGCGTTTGCAGGACCGCACGCGGTAAATTGTATGAAAACTACGTCGGAATAAAATTGACAATCATTTATCAATAGTGTGCGGTCTTGCAAACGCACGACAGTCATTGATATTTGAAAGAAGCCTAATCCTGTCTTTCCGTCGAAGAAGCTTCTTCTTCTTGTGGTGTCGACAACAAAACTATACAGTGTCAGCCCAAAACTCCGCTACAAGAGTGGCGTTGTCAGTAGCATTCATTAAATCTTCCTGCGTGCAGTTGTTTGGGCTCACAGGGCTTTCATTTGGATGACCCGTAAGACTGTAAATAGACTTCGGACAATCTGTTCAGGTTCTCGTATGGCTCAAACTTGGAATGCAAATGCGGTTTTGTTCTCCAGTCGATGAAGCACAAGATGTCGTGCCTTGCGTGCCCAAACAACCGCACGCAGGAAGATTTAATAATATCGGAACTTTCTTAGGACTAGCCCTGACAGATATCATAAATATCTACAACTGTCTTTCACATGTTGGCAGAACCAAAAAGCCAACTTGATTAGGAACTTGAAATCATAAAATGGAAACGGAAAATACTATTTCACGTCACGGATTTTCTTTTGTTAATGCCATGCAATGATCCCACTTACCCCCAAAAAATTATATGTATAAAACCATTGTTAGTAAATTATTATATGCACCTTATTTTTCCAATCCCTGCAATGAATTTGGCCAATTATGTACATGTGCATAACACATTCAATGCTAATAATTTGGAAAAGATCTACTAAAACTTTACCAATCATGGGGTGAGTATACTTTCAAGTGACATCATTAATGACACCGAATTATTAGGCCATTTTATACAAAAATACACATTTAAACAAAGTTGTGACCACGCTTGATCCGTATGCGGTCGCGATTCTTGATTTCACGTATCGTAAGGGCTATATTTCACCGGGACACCATGGCGGCGCAACCAGTCGCCGCCAGCGCCGGCTACCAACAAAATGTATACAGCTTTACGCAACTAAACGGACACCAGGTGAGTAACTCTCTTTAGAGCTGAATAGGTTTTGTTGGTAGCGGGCGACTGGTTGCGCCGCCATGGTGTCTCGGTGAAATATAGCCCTAAGAGATTCTGCGGAAACTTTGTTTAAACGTGCCATCGTTGAAACATAAAAAATATGAGGTGAAGCACCAGCCACGGCACCGCAAGTGCGCGAGAAAATTTTATAGTCCGATCAACGAGGAGATTCGTTGTATGGAAAATTCCGAATAATTCCTCTGCCTAAGAATCTTAGCACATGGTGAAAATAGGTAATACAGATTTTATAGATATAAAATTATCCAACCATTTTTATTACGAGAAGTTGGTATTTTTACCTAAGCATATACCTCGGTTTGATATTGACTTTTAACAATTTTCACCATAACTTCTACTGGAAAACTGATCTGCTGATTTTTTAATATGCTTAAATATATGTTCAAATACATAGCAATTTACAGTTATCCAAAAGATTGTCCTTTATAATATTATAGTATAATAAATTTCCACAAATACTTGTATACAAAATTATTATAGCCTTCCCGGTAAGTAGTCAATTACACTTGTATTGGGAATAACTCGCTACTTCCCATTTGGATAATACTTATCTTTTTACAATGAAAACCTTATGGGGGTAGTAGTGTTTAGATAAAAATACCAAACTTCTCATAATAAAAGTTATTGGATTATTGTATAATATCTATAATCTCTATTACTTATTTTTATTATGTGCCAAGTTTCATAGGCAGAAGAATTGTTCTGGTTACAAAAGCTTCGTTGATCGGACTAATAACAATATTGACGCAGTGCCGTCGCCGGTGCCAGCGAGATTATACTGGGTGAATGATTACTTTTGGCATGCCATCAATGCCGTATTTTCGCCAGAGCCGGTGGCCCTTGTTTCGCCGACGCCGCCGATGCAATTGCGACACCGTCGGAGTCGATGGCTGATGGGCAAACGACAAACATACAATTATTGCCTTTTTTCCGACAGTTCTCAAGTCAATACAGGCAATTTTTGCTTGGTAATGCTTGCATGCGTTTGCACAAAGTAAATCGCCAACTGCCACCGCAGTTTGTGAGCGATTCAATACAGCGGTTCCCCTTCTATTTATTTCACACATTCCCCAACTAGAAGTTGGATAGTGTAGTCCATGCATTGCATTAAAATAAGTATTTGTAAGCACTGATAAATGAGTCTATGAACAGTTATTTACTTTCGACTTTAATTTTACATTTTATACATAAAGCAAACGCATATTTTTATGCAAGGAACCGCATAAAAGGATTATTTATATTATGAAATGTTAAAAGTAGAATGTGAATTGAAAAAATATAGTATAGATCCCAGTAATATTTACAATGAAATGTAGAAAGAAACTAAAAAATGAATAGACAAAATAAAAGGTGTCACCAATCTAGCACATTCATACCAACAGAAATAAATTCCTGTACAATCCATTCATACGTACAACACAAGGATTGTAATAACTTCTTATCCATCAAACTACCAAAATTTCACATATAACATTTAGTGCCAAATCAAATTCTACGACTCATCAAATTTACTAAATTCAAATCGAGTGCGAGTTAAATAAATACTGGGTAAAGATGCTTTTCAATTAACATCTACAAAGGACAATGTAAAGAACCTTTGGAATCCGAGTAATCCCACCATTGAAGACAGAATATTCATAATCATTTACTAAATAATATTGTATATCATAATTATATGATGCTAAACTTGTGAAAACAAATCCACCAATTGATTAAACTACAAGCAGTTAAAAATAACTTTAATTGGGCTTCTATCGCCATGGAATATTGTAAAATTAGAAATAATTATTTTCTAACTAGCTTTCCGCCCGCGGCTTCGCCCGCGTGGAATTTTGTCTGTCACAGAAAAACTTTATCGCGCGCGTCCCTGTTTCAAAAACCGGGATAAAAACTATCCTATGTTCTTTCCCGGGACTCAAACTATCTCTATGCCAAATTTCATCAAAATCGGTTGCGAGGTTTAAGCGGGAAAGCGTAACAGACAGACAGACAGACAGACAGACAGAGTTACTTTCGCATTTATAATATTAGTTGGGATGAGAAATCCCATTAAAACAGGCTCATATTATTAATTTTATTTTTAACACATTTCAAGTGATAATGTGGTAGTTGCCAGTTTTGGCAGATATATTCTGAAGGGTGGGATTCTCTAATTCCTCTGAGTTCCGCCTAAGGCTAAGAACTCACGGCGCGATTTTCACCCGCGCCCGCGGCGGTTGTGGAATTGCGGTTTTATTTCTAAACTCACGGGTTCGGTTATTTGCGCGGTTATTCTAAGAACTCACGCGCGTGCTAAGTCAATAGTACAACATGGTACAAAGTTTTGGCGCGGGCGAAAGCCGCGTCGTGAGTTTGTGCATTAGTTTTTACATAAGTATCTGCATTCTACAGAAGCTGCGGGCCCTGAGTTCTTAGCCTTAAAGCGCCGCTTCACATTGTCCCAGCTTGATGTTCAAGGGTAAGCCACACTGGATGCATTATCTGGTCTGCCGTCAGGTCAAATTGAACGAAACTCGCGTTCATGTATGAACAACGTTGTTGTCGGTCAGGGCATTCGGTCTGGTTTTTTGATTGTATAGTCACCAATACACAATGTAGAGACCAACAAAACAATTTTGTTCATACGTAATGCGGCGTTCCCTTTGACCTGACCGCAGAACGCATTCTGTGAGGCATTTTTTTTAATTTGACATCACAATTATCAATAAAGATATGATACATAAAAATCATTTTTGTAAAATGACAAAAATATTAAGAATTCTTAAAATTTCTTCTCATAACTCAACAAATTAGAATAAATAGTAAGTAAGAGAGATCAGATCTTTGTTAATATTATGATGTCGAACGAAGTGTCCAACATAGAAGATATCAGGCTATACGTGCAAATAAATTACAAGTGCACATCATTATTTGATTTTCATTGGCAAAAAAAGTGTTTACCAATTAAGCATTTGTCCAAATGCAACTGCACCGTATGGTGGTACACCGTGCAGAGAAGTACAGAATATTATACAACTTTGTCTGGATTAGTTTTATTGGCCAAATATTTATATAAAAAAAGAATTCAAAAGTTAAAGTCAATCTGGGTAACTGTCCGTCAGTAAAACATTGGATCATAACATGATTGCGAATTTAGGTAGCTTTTTTCAACTTTGATTTTATTTATTTCAAATAAGCTTCATAAAGACGACGTAATAAAGGCAGGAGGCGCTTGACGCAGGCCGCTACCAAACGGGCAACATGGAAAGCATTGAGGGAGGCCTATGTTCAGCAGTGGACATCCTATAATGCTGAGTTGATGATGATGATGATGAAATAAGCTTCGTATCATTTACCCGTTGTTTACAAAGCTTATTAGTGAATATAAAAAGTCAAAGCGAGAAAGTACTAAATCCGAAATTGTATTATGAACTATACTTACGAGCAAAAGTATGGAATCACCCCTTTGTGTTCCGAGCGGTCTTAAGAACTGAATGACTATGTATTGTATGCATATATGGTATCAATTTAAAGTTTATAATATCACCTTTAAAATGGTGCCATTTTTATTGATCTTCTATTAGTCATTTAGTTCTTATGATCGCTCGGAATAAATAGTGATTCCATATTTTTGCTCGCGAGTGTATAACGAAGAACCACAAAAGTTAACTCCACTGTTTAAGGAGACAATGGCAGTTTTTGTTACGCCCAATTTGTTTCCAAATCTTTAAAAACTTTAAAACGATCTGCTATTCTACACAATAGGGGACCGGCACTATCTTGGAATTTTAGGAATTATTGAATATTATAAGAAAGTACAATGGGCAAAATGGTACCCGGCTCCAATAGATATGTGTCTAGTATCTTTTGAAAGATCTTACCAAGATGAACAACTTTTACTATGACTACCAGCGTCAGATCTGGTTGTGCACGAAGATATACATACTTTTTTGCAGAATGGTACCCGGCTCCAATAGTTATGTTTGCAGTGTCATTTGAAAGGTCTTACCAAGACGAACAACATTTACTATGGCCACCAGCCTCAGATCTGGTTGCGTTCGAAGATAAAGATACTTTTTGTGTAACCTAAGTATCATACAGTATGGAAGGCAGACGCGCTCGGGGCAGGGCACCGACGAGACGGTCGGACGCGGTGTGGAAGACGGTGGGCGGGAGTTTGCATCGTGCGGTCCACACAGCTTATGACTGCAGTCTGTGGAGGAACACTATCTGTGGTCGCGATCCTCATCAGTGAGGGACCGAGGAAGAAGAAGAAGTAGGTATCATACGTGTCCATCGTATGGTACTTAGGTTATGCGAGGCAGGAAGGGTTTACTGCTCCAGCATCCTTCCTTAACTCTATAGTTATTGATGGGGATAATAATTGTGAAATAAATATTTTTATTTAAAGAAGTACTACCCCCTTATTAATAAAAAGTTACATCTAGGAAGAACCTTGGATTAAAATGACATTTTCATACCAAATGACAATTTAAGCTAGAGTTCAACTAGGGTGTAACTTTTATTAATAATTAGGGTTAAAGTTTTATTACTTCTTAAGGGTTTTATTATGGGTTGCTAAAGTGAATAAACCCACAAGACCCAATAAGTCCACCCACAAGATGGACCGACGACCTCATAAAGGTAGCGGGAAGGCGCTGGATGCAGGCCGCCACCAACCGGCCATTGTGGAAATCATTGGGGGAGGCCTATGTTCAACTGGACGTCCTATGGCTAAAATGATCATGATGATTATGATGAAAGCGAATAAAGGGCTAATAGCTTGGGTAGTTCATCGTAGGTATAATCCTTTCCTTTTCAATGCTTCTTTTAGTTATATTAATAGATTGTAGTCATAATACATACTCGTATACATGGATGATTGTGTTATACTTTCATTATAATACTTAGTGGAATTACTGCTTTCAAAACGTGAATTAGAACTGGCCCCATAGCAGACATTTTTCTACATCTAAAGGCCTTTTAAAATATATATTGGTTATGGCTATTGGAGCGGGTACCACTTTCCATACATTTGTGCCCATCATCCTTTATAACAAATTGATATACCAAGTGACGTCATAAGTATGTGCCGTTTTGTATGTAGCGTTTTTGGGAGTCCATTTATGTGATTTTCATAGAAATATCTCGGGGAGTTTTTATGCTAACGATGTAATTCTTTTTACCATTGTTTCAATTAATGTATGAGGTCAATTAAAATACCAGAATAAAAATTTGTCCGATCCCCTATTGCATTACATGCGTATTTGCTATTTTTGAGAATTGAATAGCATTTGTCGAGCTTAATTAAAAATATGTATATTCAAGCAACACATAAGTTTTACGTACCTACTAAAGCGATTTAATCGCATGTTCTCAAAGAGTCGTGCAGATTGAATGAAATTGACACAATGAAATCTGATTGGTTATTCAAAACATTTCTCCGCTCCACTTTGGTGGAAACCGGGCCTTACTGTATTTTCTTACTCTAAACTTTAGATTACTTACTTTGATTTTGTTAATGTATTTTGTACATCTTTTTTTAATAATTAAATCTCTTATATCCTGATATTAAAGGTACTTAATGTTTGATCAGTACCCGTGTGTACATCCAGGGATTTTTTTTCCCAACGAGTAACAGTGGTACTCGTTTGAACGTGACTCGTTGGGAACAAGCGAATTTAATTAAAGCTGTAACCAAAGCCAACATTTCGGCAACATAAAATATCGTCGACATCAAGTCAATATGTAATTAAGTAGAGTCAGCGTCAAATAGTTCGTAACACCCAAAGTGGTCAAAAAGTTTGAAACACGTCTTTGTCACAATTAGAATAAGGTTGTGTTAACTTTTTGACCACTTTCGATTGTACTAGATCAGAGAAACAAAATAATAACTTCGAGAAAAGCTTAAAAAATCTTAATGCCTGCTATGCTGGTTCTAATAATGAAAATGCTAATTAATCTACACGAAGACTCATTCTTCAAGTCATGCAAACGACCAACGTTCCAAGAAAAGTATATAAGAGCTTGAAGTTGAAGAATATTTTGCTAGCAATTCGTAAATATCATCATCTTTTTGCCTAGGGCTTAAAGAAAGCGCATCAACGCAAAGAGACGCTATATTATATACACAAGTAATTAATGAATTTATATTATTTAGTTCGGAACGCATAAATACTTTCGAATATCACATTTCGCTAATACGTCTTAAAACATTGTTTAGCGTAATTCGATTCGCAGGTATATAATCAGGCAAGTTAAGTAATATTTTAGTTACATGTTCTCTGGAGCGTCAGAAAAGATGTAAAGCCCCAAAAGAAATACTTGGGGCAGATACTTGATGGACGGTGGCAGTTTGGTCCACACTTCGAACAGTTGTCGCCGCACCTTCTTAAGGCAGCTGACACGTTCAGCTGGCTTCTCCCGAATCTGGGGGGCCTGAGCTCAAACTTCCGTCACCTGTATGCAGACATACTTAAAAGTATGACTTTGTATGGTGCCCCAGTGTGGAGTGAGTTCCTATCAAAACGGAAGAATGCGGCCCTCCTGCGAAGACCTACAGCGAGTGGCAAGTTGCCGGAACCTCTCCATGGGAGTTGGAGGCTGAGGTCCTGATCACCGTCTACAAGTGGACGACGGATACAAGATAAACGCCACAAGGTGTGAAGCTCGTGAGTCCATGTTCCTTCTGTGGAGAGAAGGACATGGCCGCAGCAGAGTTCGGGCGCCGATCACTGGACGCTCTGGGTCCGATGATCAACCAGTGGGTAGAGCAGGCGCACGGTTTCCTCACTTACCGTTTGGTGCAGGTATTTTTTGGGCATGGGTGCTTCGGATCGTACCTGCATCGGGAGAGAGGAGACCCCGTCGTGCCATAAGTATGGCGCGGTGGCAGACACGGTGAAGCACACCCTCGCAGTCTGTCCAGGCTGGGAGGAGCACCGCCGTGCCCTTTGTGCGGTGGTCGGCCAGGACCCCGAGATTGGTTACCGCTATGCTCGGTGGCGACGAGGCCTGGGAGACTTGCCTCTTTCTGTGAAGATGTTATGTCGCAGGAGGCGGCGAAGCGGGAACGCGAGGAATACCCCTCTGCATCCCCGCTTCGCAAACGGAGGAAGGGAGTTTGAAGCGGTTATACGACCGTTCTCTTCTTCCTCCCCTTGGTAGTGGCCAGCAGGTTGGAGACGCATGGGCGCCTCCTTCTGCACTGCACAGCGCACAGGGTACCACCGCTGTCCGGGATTGATCTCGTGGTCCCGGCAAATCCTGTCGGCCCACATTAAGTGGCGGCGTGTTGGGTTCCGCCGTGTAGGGCGGGAAGTCCGCGGAAGGCGCCTTGGTCGTTTCTAGTACCCAAGGCGCCGACCACTATGCGGCAGAGGGAACACCCCAGGTTTTAATGGGATCAAGCCCCACATAACCTGCCGTCCCCCAGCGGTAGGCGTGGATAGGCCATTTTCTTGGGTAAAATAAAAGTTACAGTTCTCTAGAGAACATTATGTTTACATATTGACGTCAAAAATGTGTTTTAAATATTTTATGCCTATTTTTTAAGGCATTTGATCCGCTAGTTCCGTGAATTATAAGATATGGAAAATAAAATAGATTTAGTGCCTTTTTCCAGTGATGCGGATTTCGGCACGCATGCGGGCTTCCCGTATTTCAATATTTCATATTGCGTACAGAACAGTACCAATCAATTGACAAACATTTTATAAGCTGGCAAAATCTTTTCAAGTACTTGTTGTTGCTTCTGACCGATAAAACATGTATGAAATAACGAAATGCATCACAGAAAAAGGCACATAAGAAATAAATATCGCGCTGGCTAAACAACCGAGGTAAAATAAAATCAAAAGCGAGCTTAGAGATACAACAAAACAAATGTAGTCCGTAACGAGCAACGTTCTCTACACGACGCATAACTGAACAGCATACCTAAGCATGCAGTGTGCTGAGCCAAGCCCTTACAAAATAAAAATTCAAACTTCACTAACCAAAAAAAAACGGACATCACAACAACTAGATAATGGTGTAGTAAAAAAACGTTAGTGAAGGTTTGAACCTCGGCGTTTTTTCCTAATACGGGCTGTGGGTCACGCGTGGAGTGCACGGCGTGTGGGGCTACCTGGGGAGTCGGCGACGGAGTTTGGCAGTTGGTCACAGTGCTGCTTACCTGCCTGACAGGTATACCTGCGTCCTCGAACGCTTTTTTCTTGAGTGTAGTACGAATCTGCGACCTGGAAACCAAAAAAAGAAAAGTTCTTGAGCTGGCGTATTTGTAATAGGCGTAAAGGGAAGTCGAACCTTAATTTCGAACTCCTCCTATGTTGTTTCAGCCAAATCATTTGGCCTCCTATGTTCTTCTGATTAATTTCGTTGCGGGTCCAATGACAGTTTAACTTTCCCCCGGGACAAACTTGACCTTCATGGTTTTTGTTGCGGTCAAGCTGTAGATCCTGGCTACACAGGAGTTGCAGTGGTGGGAACAAGAGGTGGGAATAGTCCCGTATAGGTAAAGGGCATTGTGAATTTGTGACAGTTCAGTTGGGTATTTGACACCATCCAATCGTTCGTTTCATTCTAAAGCAACTCTTTTTTGCCCGACAGCGCCAGAAGGAGGGTTAATTAAAAACACACTTCATTCTCGTGTTTAAATCAACTGTAAATTAAGATTTTACAAAGTACGTCCATTGATTGTGGACTGTGGTGGTGTCAAATACCATATTATAAAGGTTAGATCCGGAATAGTCAATAGTTTTAATGCGACTGTAGCCTAAGGGATTAGTATTGAACTGCCAATTCGACATCGTGACTTCGTGAGTACGCTATGGCGAGTCACTGAGGCGGTAACCGTGCGGTTACCGTTTGATGGTAGCGAGAACTGCCAACAAACCCGAGATTCTAAGCTGTTAAGCTAACGTAATGTCACGATGACCAAGCGACTGTAAATGGTCCACCCCGTACATTGGGACCCTCCGTCGAGATGCACAGTCAAATTGGAGATGTCACGCGAACAGAATCACCACCGGATGTGAAGTGACGAATGACACATTCGCAATACGAAGTGACAGCGCTCGTTAAGTCATAAGAAATACTAAGGCCTCCGTAAGTTTTTACATATTGTTATACCTACTACTTGGGGATTGAGTTGACTCGAATAGTTGACTATTATGAGAGTCTAATGCTGTAATGCTGAAGACAGGAGCCCCTTTAGTTTGTAATTATTTCTATCGCAGAAAAATAAAGTCAAATGAAAAATATAACCCCCCCTCTTTCACTTCAAGAATAGTGGACAACAGTATAGCACCTATTGCAAGTTAATAAGATGCTGATTTGTTTAGCTGGATGTCCGTACCAGAATATTCGCATTTATCTAAAATTACAATTGCAAAGTTGAAATCTTTAGCCGTATGAAAAATATATCTACCTCAAAACATTGAATCAAATAAACACATTGAAATGACATCACGTCAACAAAATAGTAAAATATTTTACAAGTGATAAGACTCACCAATCGCTGGAATCATTGTGGAGAAATGAACGACGTTCGCGTTCTTCTTAGATAAGTGTAATTAATATATCAACTTTAAAAGGGGAGACAGGGCACAGCCAAACGACTGAGCCCGGTTGGGTCTGGACCCCTACTGTGCAGAAACAGACTGTCGTCTGGCTTATATGCATCTGGAGATGTACGGATGAGGTCACATCAAGCTGAACACATTGGCATCTCATGCAGTCGTAATAGGTGTTATTTTGCAATAAAAATTAATCATAGGTGCGACCGACTGTACCGATTGAGCGAATTGAAGAGTTTAGCTCTGCCGCACACTTGGCCACAGCCACCGACGACGCTAGCTATCTGATCTATACTAATCCTATAGTATAAACATACCTAAAATGCGACAGCAACTCTTTATTTGTTTGTCACTTTCATACAAGAGAAGATTTTTGTCCAAGTTAAACTAAAGGCTAAATGCGCGTAGTCGTCAGTTTGAAAAATGTATGGAAAATTCTTACCGTCTTGTGGCGGCTACAAGTAACTCAGTGTGCGGTACTTTTTAAGAAGTGCATTCAAGAGAAGGGTCAAAGTATAATTTACTGAATGGATAACGTGCCTATTGTCACCGGTCTATTCTGAGACTATTATCCATTTGTTATGAACAGGCTAGATTCATACCTAAAGAATTTGCCGAAGTCAAAACAAAGATAATCGCATAATTGCCGCAGTTAAAGTTAAATAATATTTTCGCATTACAAAGTAATATTATATTACTTAGTCAATTCCCAACATTCATAATACACACAAAGAAAATGTACTTTTGAGTTTTGATACTGACCTTCATATCCATGGTGCTATCTACTCAAAAAATGGTAATGTAGGTGTGTTACTTAACAATTTCAAATGAAATAATTGAAGTTTTAAGCCCGATTTCCACCAAGGCGGAGAAGAGAGGTGTCAGGCGCGGCGGATGATTTTTTTTTATCCGCCGCCGCTGTCGAATTGGGATGATGACTGGGTAATGAAATCGAAATTTTATTTAGTCCGTCAGACAGCATAAAGTATTAGACACGTATTTTTTTCATAATCGAATAATTACAGTATTATAATAGAAGTGTCGCGTGACGTCACTTTTGAGTAAAAAATAGTATCGTAACGCGCCATTTCAAAGTCGATGTAGCACTGTTATCATTTAATTATGAAAGAAAATAAAAAATACGAGTCCAATAATATTTTGTCATCTAGCCTATTCTATAGAAAACTTCTTCCGCCTGACACTTCTCCAATCCGCTCCGCCTTGGTGGAAGCCAGCCCTTACAGTCATATAAACCGCTTTAAATGAAGTTATTTATTTGCAGTCGTCTTAGCCTAGGCGCAGACCATCGATTTTTCGTCGGCCGATAGTTTAGTCGGGCAGTTGATCAGTATAGGCATATGGAAGTGCGCACATTACGCCGATTCGATTTGGCCGATTCTTCATACAATTTAAAATCGAGCACAATGGTCTGCGCCCAGTCTTAATCTCTACAAGGGCCAAATCATGTGGACCAAATGCAAGCACTCAAATTAAACCCATAACTGTTTTAGCCTCCACATGTATGGATACCACCCTTAGGGTGGATTCGACTAAACAAGAGTAAATATTAATCTCAGAATAAATCGACAGTTTTGACATATTTCCCATACTGAAACTGTCAATGTGTCATTTATACCAGGAGTTATTCTCGGATAAAAGTTTGGTCGAATCGGGCCTTATTCAGGTATTGAATAACAGAATTTACTGCATGCATTCGAGCATTGTGTAATCATGGCCAATAAATGTCATACAATGATACGAAACGGTCTCCCGGAAATACCGGATGCCGTTCTGCAATGGCCACACAAAGAGTTGAAGCCAACGTTGGATACCTAGTTAACAACAACCTTGGGAACTTTGTTGCATCTACTAAAGCCATTTTCAATGTTGGATACTTTGACAGTACTTAAGGGCAAACTACCAAATAGGTAACGATGCTAAAGCAAATTACATTTGAGACGTAATTAAACTAAACGTTGAAATGTTGAGGAAAAAAAGTACATAATTATTTTGTACCAAAAATTATTTAAAAATAATGAAATTAATATAATTTCATTCAGTTAAGAATGGGCGATAAATTTTGGCTGTAAGTTTAATAACATTCGGATGTACATATACTTAGTAGTATAATATTTTATAAGCTGTCCCCTACTGTCTTCCCATATGGGTGCTACCCTTTTATCAAATTAAAGCTTGCTACACATAGTACCTCAGCCCTTTTTGAGTCCTTTCTGGAAATTGCACCCAGGACCGGATCTAAAAACTTGACTTAGGTACTGAACTATAAAGACGTAAATATGTTGTTGTAAAAATCTAAAGTTATTGAATGTAGACTAATTCCCGACAACTACACAAGGTACTTTTCCACTTTACTACAGCGGTAACATCAATTTTGGTGTTTTTCATTGACTTCGCGATTGCGCAAGACCATTCTAGAATATTAAAGAAGTAGGGCACTTACGCGGTTCTGTTTTTGATGTGCTGGCTCAGTTTGTTCAGATCAATGGCGAAGCGATGCACGCATGCGCGAAGCATCTCGATTTCTTCCTCTGTCCATTTGCCACTGAAATATGATAATAAACTTTTTAAGACAACCACAAAAGACATAAGCGAAACAGGAGACGAAGTAACAATCAGAATCTACTATTTCAACCTATATTTATGACAATGATAGTGTTTAATGTCATCACAAGCATTTCAAAGGAACAGAAGCATAAATTACCTTTTTTCATCAGTAGTTCAAGAAGCGCACGCGCACCGGTACAAAGACAATGACGATATACCCGAAACAATAAAACAGAAAATGTAACCATGCCTCTTTTTCTTCACTCTTACAGAGGTCACAGTGACAAACGTCTGTCACCATTGCTGCCTAACTCTGTTATGATTAACGTCACCATAAAAACGACCAGAACCTTTTGTTATTTGTCCGAGGATTGAATAGCTTTCGCAGAAAGCAACATAATAATCTGGTGTCAAATTGTGTGGAAGGTATTATTTATTTGTTGCGAACTATGCATTTGAACACACCATGATTCCGTTTATGTAATCAATTTATACGGAGACACGTTATCCAGTAACCTAAGATGTTTATACCTACTACCTACCTAAAACGATTAAAAATAATAAAATGAAAAGAAGTTTGTAAACATGTTATTGTGAGCAAGTTAATCAATGACACGACTGACCCGATTTTTATTATGAGTACTTAAATTCTTTTTGCTGATACATAGCATCAGTACCTATTACTGAATAGCATTTTATCCAGGAAATGTACTTTGCTATCAGAGATTTGTCTATAACCAGCCAAGTATAAAGTAACGGCAAAGAGTAACACGATTGTTTGACAGGACCAGTAGGTTGACTGTACATTTGTACAGTAAAAAAAAACAATTGTAACACGTCATATATGGGCCGTGGACACTTAACCGGTCGAAGTCAGGCTCTGTGAGAGAAACTAAATGTCATTTGCACATGGCGTGCCCTTTTACTTGTTAATAGAAACGAATACAGCGCAGTTTTCAATTAACCGTCGAAACATACAAAATAAGTTCTTACCATAAACGCCAACTAGTAACTACACTTAAAAGTTCTGAGATCCTACTCTAAACAATTTCGATTTTATGTCTCGCGGTATCCGCCTTCATCCTCCTGAGGCGCTGACACGAGTGGGAAAAGGGGGTTGATAGATACGACTCTATTTTGTGCCACACAAAATAAAAGATAGCTTGAAGAGTCGATATCAGTTGGCAGAGAATTCTCCGCATCCTGCGACCGTGCTGTGGCACTACCGCGGTAAATCTGCAGAGATATCTTGCACTCTGATCCCGGAGCGACCTACAGAGAAACAATGTAACTATTTATGATACAAAATATACGCGAGCCACAACGATATCCTTTACAGTGCAATAAGGATGCCTTTGTTGCAAATTGTGCAATTCTTACGCTAACAACGTCACCGAAGAAAGCACAGACTCGTTAGATGTGAAACTGAAACCAATTTTCATGTATCCCTTTGATACGACGAACGATAGATACTACGTAGATTGCCTAAGGGTTGATAAGGAATAAAATGCAATTCTTGTTAAGTAACTATTTTAAAACTCAAAAGCAAAAACTATGTCACTATGACAAAATACGTGTAACAGTGAAAAATAATAACTTAATTCGATGGAATAGTTAATCTGCCCTGAAGATTAATTTCCTGACAAAATGTTCTTATACAAGCAGGTGAAGCTTATCGATTTTAAGTTGGCTTCGTTCTACCTGTAACGTCCATCCAATTACATGACTAAAGTCTGGTCCGTGAGCACATAGAATTTTGTCCAATGACCCCAAGCTACCCATCCTTATCGCTCGCGTGTAATTATATTGCTGACGACAAAATTCTACGTGCTCACGGACCAGGCTTTAGAATGTTGCAGTCGCCCATCTCGAATAAGTATGCAAATTTTCAGCTCAATTGAACTCTGAAGTCAAGTGGGTCAAATTCAACTTTATAAGATTAAATTAATTACCTACGGACACCCAGACTGATGAAGGTAAATCAAAGCTTGTAATAAAGTACTCTGTTTCTATTTGCATGAACTCGCCTTTACTAGTAATAGGTGAGACCGTCTTGACGTCAAAGGAGTCGGGCTCCTGCATCGCTCATAGATTGATAAAGCGTAATTTGATCACACTCCCCATTGCAGGATGCGAACGATTTGCTCAACAGACCCGCAGCAGTGCATAAGTAAGTGCACTTACGTGATTTGTTATTGTACCTCGTATCTGGTCGCGACGAATGCATAATAGATTACTGTCCTCAACTACGCCACAATAGTCAATCGTGTTGTTTTTAAATGTAAGATAAAAACCGCTTTAACGCGGAGAAAGGTTATAAATATCCACTGATCACTTCGTGTGATGCGCAATAAAAAGCATCTTAATATGTTTACTTCGCGCATATCTGTTGGGGGGAGAGGGGCGACAGGTTTGGCAGGACTTTTGACGAATGACGGCACTAATTTGATTATTGTTGGGGCCATTTCTGCGATCATATCATTATTATGAGATCACCTTGTATAAAGTGCAATAAAAGTATATTATGTAGGTATGTACTACAGAGGTTCTGTAATTTGTGCGTGCCACGTGCTTACCAGATGCAAAGTAACTATTTTATCATATTGAATACGAAAACAAACAGATTTCTATTCGACTAAGCTATGTAAACTTACTATTTGCAGTCAATATATGGAGATGGAAATACGAATTCGAATCTACATAAATTGGAACGTTACATTGTTTCTGCTGTCAGTAGTTTCATGGAATTTTCCACAAGACTAACCCAATAGCGAAAGTGGTGGCAAACCAATAATTGAATCATTTTCAAAAAACTTCTTCTAGCACTAATATAAAGAACAGGCCATTTATAAGTTTCTTTAAACTGTTACTCAGTTATTAACTTAATATTTGCTTTAAATGTATTCACAGCCCATGTTGCAATTTCTTACAAAACTTGCGCGCAAAAAGCAAATCTAGTATGAAAATCACCAAACTTCTAATGCTTTTAACTCAGTTCAGACTGAGTTTAGAGGTATACATGCCATAGTAAGTTTGGTTTATTACACTATTTTGTAATAAAAAAACAAAGATTGGTCGATGGCCGCGCGAAAAAAAAAGACGCCACCTTCCATTGCCATTTAATATAAAATAGTAGTCAATCTGTTCTTGATGCGTGAGATGTCTATGGCAGCTAATGCCCGGCACCAGAATGTTTTATCTGAGGTTAAACATAATGTTTACAACAAAAGAATACAAAACTTATAACCCCTTTATGTGCTATGCGTTAAATTATATTTGAGCTACGGCTTTCATAGATATCTATTTGTGAATATTTAGACAGTCTGAAGATGCCTGACTTCCCTAATAAGAGCCCAAGCCTTGGTATTTGTCACTGTTACTTCCCTAATAAGAGCCCAAGCCTTAATAATTGTCAATATCTATACTTATAATAAATCTGTAGAGAGGTCAATTCTGTACATGAAATATATTTTCAAAATAACTATCAAGGGGTGATTAGTGATCGATACTGATGCCAAAAATGCAATCAGTAAAATTTTTGTCTGTCTGTCTGTCTGTCTGTCTGTAAGTTCCTTATAGAAACAAAAACTACTCGACGGATTTTAACGAAACTTGGCACAATTATTCTTCATACTCCTGGGCAGGTTATAGGATACTTAAGAATTCCCACGGGAACAGGAATTAGCGGGGAAATCCTTTTGTATGAAAAATCTAAACCGCTTAAGTTAGATGTTTGAAAGAAGAACGGTCACGCCCCATACAAAAAAAACCCAGACCCGACAGAAACGAGACATACCTCAGTTTTTTTGTCATGTCTTAATTAGTTAAATTATATATTTTTTATATTCGAAATCTATGTATAACACCAAATTATTACCCTTTGTTTTTGTTCAGGCGTCATACAAAAACTAATACAAAATGCCTATTTATCACCAAAATTGGTAAATGTATGTACCTAAATGTCTATTACAGCTGCTATGGAATGTATCTAGGTGACCTGGAGATACAGCCGGATTATACAGGGTGGTTATACATATGGAACGAGAAGTGATCTCACTCGATTATTTCTAAACTATACAGGATATCGAAAAACTAGTTACTGATTCTGAAAGTGCTTCACGAGCTCTTTCAAATGGTACCAATAAAAGGTTACAGATTATGGAAGCTGGTAACATTGAATTTTTGGATTTTGTAACTTCTCGTTTCCACCCTGTATAATCCGGCTGTATCTCCAGGTCACCTAGATACATTCCATAGCAGCTATAATAGACATTTAGGTACATACATTTACCAATTTTNACAGATGACCGTTCTTCTTTGATATGTAGGTACCTTAGTAAACTTAAAGCTTAGTTGCAACAAGAAATACCCAAAATTCCAACGGGAACGGGAATTAACGGGAAAATCATTTTGTATGAAAAATCTAAACCGCTTAAGTTAGACGCTTGAAATTTGGCATACAGGTACCTTAGTAAACTTAAAGCTTAGTTGCAACATAATATTGCGAAATTCCCACAGGAACGGGAGTTAGCGGGAAAAACCATTCGTATGAAAATATCAAAACCGCGTAAGATAGATGAAGGGGGTAAAACGGGATCCACGCGTACGCAGTCGCGGGCGGCCGCTAGTTACAAATACAATTGCATCGCAGTCGACACTGTTGTGATTTGTGATGCAGTGCTTAGATAATTTAGTGACTAAGAAGCAAGCAAGTGATCAGGTTGTGTCAGAGCGCTTCTTTCAGGCGAAGTCGAGTCAAGTTGGAAATCGACATCCCTCCCATTACTTGTTACAAGTCTGTTTGCTTAAGCAATGACTGGTTTGTATTAAATATAAATAATTTAATTGAGTTTGCACGATTAACTTAAGTTTGCAACTAAATGGAGTTTTTGGATTCAAATCATTGTATCAAAAATATATGTACCCCTAACCTCCTAAATAAAAGTACCTACTGAAAATAAAACAAAACTGATTTAATGACATGACCTGTTGAATATATGGTTAAAATACAGCAAAAATGAGAAAGTGACAGAAAATAAAACAAAACTGATTTAATGACATGACCTGTTGAATATATGGTTAAAATACAGCAAAAATGAGAAAGTGACAAAGTTAATAATCAGTAAAAATAAGAGGCCACATACTGAGTACGAGTTGCATCTTTCAGAGTGCATCTGAGTGAATTTTGTCAACCATGATTGATTGCCCAGACAAGCTATTATCAGAATAGGGCATTCCTTATCACAACAAGAGAATTGGTTGGCGACGCAAGTAAAACTGAACGTTTTATACAGTAGTGAGACATGAGGTTCAAACCTTATCCACGTTACTATATCAAAACGTGGGTACGGCGCAACATACATACATAGATGTCCCAATGTACAGTAGCCGGACGCCGGACAGCAATTATTGATTAGTGATGCTAAATGTGAACTGTTAACGGTTGGAACTATAATAGTACGGGAATGTA